CAGTGGGGAGGTCAGAGCGTGATTGGGCTGAGAGACAGTGGGGGGTCAGAGTGTGGTTGGGCTGAGACAGTGGGGGCTGTGTCGGTGGAGGGTGTCCTGAAAGGAACTGGGGGGGTCTGACTGGTTCCGTGAATGGAACCTGTGAAGGCTGCAGGTGCCCTGGCACCCGGACCCCAGGTCCTCATGTGTGCTGGAGATGCCAGGCCTCCCCACTGGTGCCCTCCCTGCCCAGGACGGCACTTACGCACTGGCTCCCGGTGACTCTTCTCCCCGAGCTGTCCATCTACAGGGTGAGGGACAGACGTGGGCGTGGGTTAGGTGCCGGGCCTGCTGACGGTCCCTCACAGTCAGTCACCTTGAGCCCCTCCGGCCGACAGTGGGTGGGGTCAGACAAGAGGGGAAGGGCTCCCTGGGGAACTGGGGCCTCGGGGTCAAGGGCAGAGTGTGTTGGGTGGGTGGGGCTGCAGGGAGAGGCGTCCACCAGCCTCGTGGGTGACTAGGACTGCGCTGTCTCTGTCTCGCACCCTTTACCTGCTGACCAACTCGGGGCCCCTCCTCCCGTTTTCAGACCAGCGTTGACCTCTGTGCGTGTGCGTGCGTGTGCACGTGGTGAGTTCACGCTTGCTGTTAATCTGGACCCACGGCCAGGCCTGCCCGATGCTCCGCCCTGGGTGGTAGGTACTCACAGTGCTGCCCGGTTCATAGACGGAGAGACTGATATCCAGAGACACGTGAACTTGCCAAGGGAACACTTGAAAGGGTGCGGCCGGCCGCCTGGGTCCCCTGCCCCGCGCTCACCCATCCAGCGCCCCAGGATGGTGGAGAAGATGCGCTTCTTGCTGGCCTCGTCCATCTCGGTGAAGGACAGGTAGTTGAAGTGCCGCGTCAGCCTCGGGGTGATGGCGTTCCTGCCCCCACCCGGGGGGCCCATGGCGCACACAAAGTTGATGTCCACCAGGTTCTTGAAGGCCCCTGTGGTGGGGGGAGTGGGGAGCCATCAGCGGGGCAGGGAGGGGTGGATGGGGGGTGGGGCCTGCCCAGAGCCAAGAGCAGGAAACACGAGAGGTGCCTTGGGACCGGCCAGTCCAAGACAGGTGCCGTTAGCATTACGCACGCATGCACCGGGACAGTTAGGACATTTGGCCTCAGAGTCTCTCCCACCACCCCCTCACCCTCCCGGCTTGTGAAGGCAATGAGCACATTTTCACGGTCCCTCCCGCAGAGTTCACGCACCGATGGCTTTGCGGTCATACCAGCCCCCGTGGTCCATCCACTGCCGCAGCAGCTCGATGGGTGGCTGGGCGCCGTATGTTTCCAGGGCCGGCATGTTCAGGTCGTCGATGAAGAAGATGAAGGTGCGCCCCAGAGGGGGGCCAAACACACCCTTCCGCCTGCAGGGAGTAGCTGTGTGAGCCCAGCACCCAAGGGTGCAGGTCCCGAGAAAGCGGGACGGTGGCTCTGCTTCTGGGAAGCCCTCCCTGATTCCAGCGTGTTCCTCGAGGACAGTCCTTTGCTCCCTGGACCCCCGAGACATCCAAGGCCTAGCCTCCCGTCTTCCTGTGGGTGCCCGAGGGAGAGGGGGGCGGTTTGAACAGCCAGGTTCTCAGTGAGCGCCCAATGGGTAATGGACTGGCGGAACGTTCACCTTGTGTTGCAGGCCTCTCCGAGGCTGCCCCCCACCTCCACCCTCACCTGCCCACTGCCCAGGCTGGGCTCCCTGTGAAGAGGAAGCTCTAAAACAGTCTGCAGAGAAGCCTGGGTCCAAAGGGACGAGGGGCCTGCCTCTTGTCCAGCTTGCTGTCGATGAGGTCCTGCGTCTGGTTGGCCGAGGTGCGGGCCGAGAAGGAGATGAAGTGGCTGATGTACTCCAGCGGCAGGTTCTTGAGGAGCTTGTCGGTGACAGTGAGGGTCTTCCCGGTGCCTGTCGGCCCGATGCACAGCACCTGGGGTGGGGTGGGGCACGCGGCTGGGCTTCTCACACCACCTCAGCGGGGAGGGCAGGTGGCCACCCCCGGAAGCCAGGCAGAGTGGGTACGCACCGGCTTGTTGTTGGACAGCAGCATGCCCAGCAGGTGGGACATCTGTACGGTGTCCATGGTGGGCACGATGATGTCGCAGTAGTTGGTGTCGGGCACCATGGTGAACGGGGCTGACGCGTCCATCCACTTCACCCAGGCCACCTGGACCGAGGGTGGGCGGGCGGTTCAGCGTGCTGCATGTGCCCGCCGAGGGACCAGGTGAAGGGCTGCTTCTGCCAGGGACGGGGGGCCTGCCATGCTCCCACACAGCTCCTGTCTGGGGCCCCTTTTTCTGAGGACAGCTGCCTCCCCCCACCCCCCACTGGGTCCTCCTCTCCGGCTGGGCGTGGACACCTGCTTGCTGGCCTCATCTTCCTCGTCGTCATCTTCGCCAGTGTTGCTGATGCCCCCGTCCTCCAGCCTGTAGTCGAACACCAGCCCCTCCTCCGGGAAGGGCAGAGCAAGCTGCAAGGATCAGGGAGAGGGAAGGGGGTGTTGGTCTTTCAAGGTGGGCTGCTGGCACCCACACCGGTCAACCGTCCCGGGCACCCGGCTCTCACGTCTTCAGCCTCCATCTTGTTCCTGAGCCAGTGGCTGAACATGGCGCGGCCCGCGCTGTCCCCCGTGGCACCCACGCTCCAGACCAGGGCGAAGATGAACCAGGGCTCGATCAGCTCGGGGATGCGGTTCAGCTTCTCGGGGGACACCTTTCTGAGGCCCTGGGGGACAGTACAGCCCCGGGGGAGCAGGGTTTCCATGCTACGTCCAAGCGGCCATGGGCCTGCGGGGGTCTCCTGAACTGCAGCCCCTCCGAGTCTCAGGTGCAAAGAGCATCGAGGCCTGGCCTCCCGGGAGCAGGGCAGGCAAGGGTCCCACTCATGGCCTGCGGCCCACAGGCCAGACACCCTGGGGACACCTGGCTCCTGGAGGGTGAGACAGCAAGAAAGACCAGCCTGGGGCCGCCCTGGGCCTCCAGAGCAGTGAGAAGGCTGCCTCGGCGCTGTCACGGGGGACGGGTCATGTGGAGGCTGACGGAGCCCCATCCTGCTCCCCACCAGCTGGTGGCAGAGGCTGCCCGTCTGTCCAGGACACGGCCCTGCCCTCAGAGTCCCCTGCCACCTCTGAGCCCTGGGAGAGGTCTGTGCATGGAGATCCCATCCAGCCACCGGTGCAGACTGGCCTCGATGGCCCCAGGACCCACACTCTCTCTCTTCTAAGGAGTGGGGGCGGGGGCGAGGGCGGGGGCGGGGCCGGGAGCCATCCTGGGCAGGCACCCACCTCTCTGGGGAGGAAGGGCCTGAAGAAGCAGTCGAGCAGCTTGAGGAGGCTCATGGTCAGGTTGCTGTTGGTAGAGGCGATCACCTCCTTCACCGAGGCCCGGACGAAGGTGATGGAGTCCTGCAGAGGCAGCCTGTGAGGTTGGCTGTCCTGGCTGGTGGCTGCCCTGGCTGGGCTGGGCGCGCCCTGACCCTGCTAACCTCCAGGAATTTGGCAAAGAGGACTTGGAACTGCTCCTCATGGTGGCTCACGCAGGCGGGCAGCTTCTTCAGCCAGCACTGGACAAAGGGCAGGAGCCCCAGGATACTGGGCTCCAGGTACACCATGCCGCAGCGGGACACTGTGGCCGGCGAGGCCACTGCCAGGTCCTGCACCTCGAACATCATGGTCATCGCCTGGTGCCAAGACAAGCCAGGTCAGAGGCTGGCCGCCAGCCCTGGGGCCAGGGAAGGACATGGCCATGGGGCAGGGGCAATGCAGGTCCAGACGAATAGGTCATGACCTGAGGGTCAGGAGATGACCAGGCATCCTGGGCAGGGCATTTGGGGAGTAACCTGGGGGATCAGTGGTTGTGCCCTGGGCGGCTAACCCCCAAGGTCAGCAGATCAAAACCACCCGTCGCTTCTTGCTGGAGAGAAAGGGATTTCTACTCCTGTAAAGGGTGCCCGCTGGAAGCAGGTGGCCAGTCTGCAGGTGGGGGCCCGGGCTCGGAGCCTCATGGGACATGGGTCTGCTGGAAGGGTGGACGGGGCAGCAGAGTTGAGGACCCAGCGTTGAGGGTCCGGGAGAGCCCTGGGAGCGAGCTGGCAGCAGGGCCCCGGGGACCCCAGGGGGGCAGCTCTGTCACCTCGGTGAGTTTGATGATCTCCCCAGAGCTGAGGCACAGCTTCTTGTTGTCGTCCAGCACCGTGTTCATGTTCTCGATCCAGACGGCGTCCACCGGCCCATCGAACATGTACCACTTCTTGTTGGTGTCGGCTGCCACGGCCCCCGTGCGGATGAGCGAGGGGAAGATCCCGTCTGTCCTGCAGCCATGGGGCGGGTGGGGCAGGGGGGCTGATCTGCACAGGCTCCCAGGGGACCCCGGAGGGAAGATGAAAGGCAGTCCTCCCCAAGGGGCAAGGGGGTGGGGAGGCTGACTGCAGAGGGAAGATGGGAAGAGTTGGGGGTGAACGATGCAGCAGGGAGGGGGGCCGAGGTGTGGGTGGGGAGACGCGGCTGCTTCTCGCCGAGAATCCTGCAAGGCTCGGGGAAGGGTGTGTGTGGGGTGCACACTGCTGACCTAACCCCAGGTCCCCATCCACCTGCCCTGGAGGGAGCCTGGGGAAGGAGGGCAGGCCGCGTTCAGGGGGACGCGGAACACCACCCCCATCTCCCAGGCTCCTCCAGACATGGAGCCTAGCAGAACCCCAACGGGGCTGGGGGCTTCTCTGCAGAACGAGCCCTGAGAAAAGGTTCCGGGTCCCGGGGACATTTTGCTTTCCGCTGAGCCAACCACACAGCAAGTGTCCCCCCTGCCAGTGCTGACCGCACGGGCACAGCCACCACGTCAGGAACCAGCCAAGCCGGTCATCAGTCAGAAGATCAGATGACGATGGAACAACAACTCTCAGGAAGCTGTCCAACCACCGCCAGGACCACGCTAGACCCCGACAAACCAGACCAAAGCCCTGCTGCTGAGCGATGCCGCGACTCAATCACCCTCCGGCATGGGGGGGGGGGGCTGCCCTGGGGGTCCTGACTGAGGGCAGCATGCTGCCTCTTCACCGCCACCCAGTCCATTCCGCCCGTGGGGACCCTCCGGAAAGGGGCAGAACTACCCCGGGTCTGAGACTTTCTCCTGCGCAGGCTGCAGGAGCCGGGCTATCAGGGAGCGCTGGACCGCGCTCTGGAAGGTCGCCTCCGGAGTGGGCGGGGCTGCCTGCCACCGAGAGACGCAGAGCCTGGGAAGCCCGCAGGAGTCGCTAGGAGTCCACTGGACCACCGGGGGGTCAGGTAACTCGGGGAGCAGGACAGGATGCCCGGCCGCAGCGCTCTCGCTCTCGAGGGCGGCTTTGTCCTGGGGCCAGGCACTCGGTCCCTGCAGGGGAGCAGCCACAGGGGCGTCCAGTCCCAGGGGCACTGGCTTTGCAGAGCAGGTGGCGGGAGGGATGCAGGGGTCCCCTAACCAGCACACAACAAGCATCCCCACCCAGGAGCCCCTCCCACTGGCACTGGCAGTGGCGGCCCCAGAAGCTTCTGGAAAGAGGAAAACAAGGCCCACTGGGATCTGCACGTCAGACACGGGGAGTCATGGCCACGGGGACAAGTTCATTTTTAAGGAAAGATGTTTCCACCTTGAACCCTATACTGAGCCAGATGACCAGCCAGCTAGCCCCAGCCCCTAACCTCCCCCAAGTCTCCTGCAACACGCACCTCGCCTGGGAGCAGGGCCCTGACGGGGGCCGACAGCCTCTCTCGGGGCCATGACAACGGCCCACGTTCACTGAGCACTTGGGGCACCAGGTCCTGGCCCGCCCTCCCCCTGAAAATGGTGGCATCCCCCCCCCACCCCACCCCCCTGCAAATGCCCCAACCAAGGCACCTCCCAGGATGAGGAAAGTGCTGGGTGGGTGCGGGGGACGTAGTGGGTAAA